AATAATTTCCGGCTGGTTTACTAATTACAATTTTTTTCCCAAATTTATACGATAAGCAGTTTCTGAGAGATACAGCCGGCCTCCATTCTTAGTTGGCCACCCGGTACACCAAACATCACTTGAAAGTAAGTTATAGATCATATACTTATTGCTTTATTAAAAAAATAATATAGAAATTCTAGTCTTGTGTCTGTGAACTGTACTAATAATGTTTTCAATTTTCTATCATTAATATGTGGGTGAACGAGTTAACCGTTAGCTTAATGTAAATTTACATTTACATGGCTCACCCTGTATGCATTTTATAGGAATATTTCGATAATTTTCTTTATTAATCACAACAAAAATCACAGCTTCTTTCCTAGTTACTCCATATCACTGATATTTTAAGCATATGGAGCGTGCTTATCAGTTCTTAAAAACGGCGCTAAGTTAGCTTGGATATACAGGGTGTTTCAAAACAAATGCGAAAAACTTCAGGGGGTGATTCCTTGTTCAAAATAAAGGGTAGTTTGCTTCATAAACGTTGGGTCAAAAATCAACCATTAGGGAGATATTGCGGTACAAAGATGGCGGAAAAATAATGTTTTTATTTTTTATCTTGAAAACGAAAAGAGATAGACTAATAAAATTTTATGGAAGCATTACTTTTATGAAAACACACTTTCTGGTAATTTTTTCACTTTTTTAAAATGAGTGGAAGGGGTTGAAATAAACTACCCCTATCATTCTTGTTAACGAAATTTAAAGAATAATCTTATCAAATACATGCAAAAATTAATTTGGATAGTTTAGTTTGTTTAGAAACTTTTTTATCTCTTGTATTTTTTTGATAAAACCCACCGATTTCAAATTAAAAAATAAAATGTAAAGCATTACATGTCAGGACAAAAAACATTTTCTGATAAAGAATCTAGTGGGCTGCTATAATTTTTTTAGGAAAAAATCTAGTCGGCCGCTGTTACTTTTTAGGATGTTCCTAATATTATTTTATTTGACATTACTCTACTGCAATACGTTATTATCTAGATGATTATTATTATCGTTATTATCACTAGATTCTTAATCTAAAAATATTTTTTGTCCTGACATGTAATGCTTTACATTTTATTTTTTAATTTCCAATCGGTGAGTTTTATCAAAAAAACAAAAGAGGTAAAAAGTTTCTAAACAAACTAAACTATCCAAATTAAAGCATTTGCATGTGTTTGATAAGATTTTTCTTTAAATTTCGTTAACAAGAATGATAGGGGTAGTTTATTTCAACCCCTTTCACTCATTTTAAAAAAGTAAAAAAATTACCTGAAAGTGTGTTTTCATAACAGTAATGCTTCCATAAAATTTCATTAGTCTCTTTTCGTTTTCAAGATAAAAAATAAAAACATTATTTTTCCGCCATCTTTGTACCGCGATATCTCCCTGATGGTTGACTTTTGACCCAACGTTTATAAAGCAATCTACCCTTTATTTTGAACAAGGAATCACCCCCTAAAGTTTTTCGCATTTGTTTTGAAACACCCTGTATAATGGATGACATTCCTAATTATAAGGTTTTATATAAAACGACAGCGACTTTCGTTTCCAAACATAACAGGTATGAAAAATATCAGCGTTCCTACTAGGAAAGTAGCCAACGAAATAGTTCTATAATAAAATATAGTTTATATCTTTTTTTGTTAATAATTCCGTCTACCGACAAAGACTAACCAGTAATAATTATTTAGATTCAGATATAAATAGGGGTATGATTTGTGATAATAGTTTTGATTCGGATGATGAGAGTCGCTACTAAACCAGTTCAGAGATTCACCAAAAACTTATGCGCAGTTACTAAGAAATTTTGCACTTTACTAGAATTACCATCCCAGTGTAATAATTAGTCTGTTAATTAATAATACTGACGACACTATCCCTCTAGCATATACTACGAAGATAATGTGCTCAACGACTGCTGTCGATATTCATGATACAATAACGGAAATAATTTTCTGTTAAGCTCCGCCAACTACATGCGCAATATCTTATCTCAGAAGATCTTTGGCGGTGGCAAATCGATTCTCCGCGCGCATGACGTCACTCGGATAGTAAGTTTCTGTTAAGCTCCGCCCACTACATGCCTAATATCTTATCTTTTTCCGTTATTGTATCATGGTCGATATCGAAGACTCTAGTATACACTGTTGCCGACTTCATCATCATCATTATTTAAATTTTAAACAACGATTTTTTCAAAATGTTAACCAATAATCTCGTAGTCACGTTAGAATCTTCGAAGTCACGTTAAATACAAGAGTCTTTAAGTGCACAGGGTCACAGCGAATAGCTTCTACGTTCCACTAGTCAACTCGCATACCCAACAATGTTGCCGGTTGCTGTCGCCTTATTTGGCGGAAAGTAACGCCTAGTAACTAGTAAAGCTTGTTTCATATAGACGCGAATCGCGAATTGCGATTTTGCGAAACTGCTCTCATTGGTCCAATTTTACTGATCATGGCGGCGCTGTCAGAAATTTTAAGATTTTGGCGATTCGCAAGATTTAAAATTTGGGGGGCGGGAAAGTTAAAGTGTTTTCAACTTTTTGCGAATATTCGCGCGATTTTAAGGTACGCGTTTGCGCAGAATGGTGTTGTGATCCGGTTATCGATTATTTTGACGACGCTGCCGCAAAGTAACTGAAAGCATTTCTCCAGTTGAAATGGGTTCTCGTACATAATATGTTTTTGATATATATGGCGACAATTTTTCAACTTCAACCAAGTTATCAAACTCCTATACAGACAATCTGTGAAAATTCCTAAATTTTTTCTCATTTTTCTTCCTTATTTTTTGAATTAAACTGCGACAAGCACCTTGTTGCTTACGAAATTTGAATATTTCACATGTCCCAAATGGCCCATAAATGACCTATAAACCTGTGCTATAAACCCATTCTCTTCTACGTTTTAACAATAATCGTAATCGATATTCATAATTATTAAACAAATTTAAACTCATATTGTATGCTATAAAATATAAAATAAAGATCGTAAACACGAATAAATATGTATAAAACAAATTAAGTTATCTCAGGTTATGATTTTTTTTTGGTAACTTTCAGTGGAGCAAAAATGAAGTGTCCCTAAAAATTCGCGACTGTATGAAATAGGTCCAAATTTTGCAAATATTTTTTGGCGAATCGCTTTTCGCAATTCGCGATTCGCGTCTATATGAAACAAGCTTAACGCGGAAAGTATACCAAACCAAACCTAGCTATAGCTAATTTCGCAAGAGCAGCTGTGGATCCATTGGTGAGGCTGTCGCTTCGGGATCGAGAGGTCCCAGGTTCGTGTCCCACAAATACAGAACGTTGTTATTTTTTTACAGGTGTTTTTATTTTCTCAAAATAGCTGTAAAATTGCTTTGGTTAGTCTCTGGGGTAAGTTTTTTTTGTTTAGATTGCACGTGAAATACCCAACCGATTATCGTTTATGTGCGTGCAGAACTGCGAAATTAGGGGACAACAAACGGCAACATTGTTGGATATGCGAGTTGACTAGTGGGACGTAGAAGCAGCACCACCTCAACTCAAGACCAACCAACATGATATGGGCAAGGCAAATATGGCGGCGAAGGTAGCGCATTATTAAATTGTTTACCTTTAACCTGAAAAGCCGGTAGTGATTATCTCTAGTTTGTTGTGCTTCTGCAACACGTTTGTTTAGATTTTAGTGTTCAGTGCATGCTGTGATCAGAAAATTGTTATAAAATAAGAGTGTAATAAAAATCCAAACCAGACATTCCCCATAGGAAACTTCAAACTTTTGTGCTTGTCGTACTCCTGTATTAATTATTTTAAGGTAAGAACTAGAAGTATTTATCAAGATATTACACCTAAATGAGTAAACCGCCAGTGTGCATAGTACTTTATAATGGTTACTTACAATAATTAAAAGATAGGTATTAAAGGGTTAACATTTTATTGTAGCATGCCTTTTACATGCTCTGTTCCAAATTGACACGGGAATTATAGAGGGGATCCTAAGGTTTCCGCTTTTATATTCCCCAAAAATGACGAGCTTCGTAAAAAATGGTTAGCTATTAAAAGAGATAATTTCACTCCTATTAGTAGTTCTCGGGTAAGAAGTGCATTAAATATGCCTCAAAAAGGCCAAAGCCTCTGTTACCCTAGTGAGGATGTAGTTATGGCTACTGCTTACACTTACCTCACTAGAAATAAAATATTGGAAGAAGAATCAAGCTTTTTACATCAAAAAAATCACAGAAAGATATTGACAACATTGACATTTGAAAATATAAATGGCCTGGATGTAAGTCTTTTTTTAGGTCACAATTGCCCCTCACATACATCAGAAAGTATTATTAAATTCATCTTGTTCAGAATATCCAATATTTTATTGAAGAACTATACAAAAAAAATGAATGATGTCTTTACCACAAAGACAATGCCCTATGTAAAGAGAAAGAGCAAAGAAAACTAAGCTAAGCATAAGTTTTACTTACGAACCCCCAAAAAGGTATTTAGTTTTTTTTTCTATATAAAATCTTGAAACACATATTATATTTTTTAGTGATCCTCACCTATTATAGTTTAAATTTATTTCCATTTGTGTAATGCTGCTAAACATAGAAAAAATATTCCATATTTTTTGACCCAAGCCAGTGTAGTTTATAACTCCAAGAGCATTTACCAAGGCTTTTACTAAGACAAGTAACTTCCTATACTGTCCATAATAGTATATATTTATCAAACCTTCAGTAAATTCTAAACTATTTTCTGTCATATATTTCTGGTTATTTCTTTTTCCGATGATTTTGACCCTATATATGCTACCTCAACTTTGAATATTTTAACACTACCTATTTTCTGAGAAAGCAGACCTTTTTATAAAAAGTAACTAACTGATGTTTTCATAAAAGTGATAATACAAAAAATTCCATACTTATGTGGAGAACTTTAGACTCCCTGTATATTAAAAAATTAGTGAAATATTACGTAATTTAACCCGACATTTGTGTGAAAAATGTCTATTTGGAAATAAAACAGGGTTTAAAATACGCGCCAAATAAAGCACTTCTATCTCCGCCATATTGGAAAAGGTTGAATAGCCTTGTGTGGAGGAGGAGGTGGTGGTAGAAGCTAGTGTCACAGCGATGTGGATGACGTACAAACCATTGGAAATTTTAGCGCTGTTGTCAGATGGTACTTATATCAGATTATTATCGCCCGAATTGAAGCTTTGAATATTTATAAAAAAAATAAACTAAAGTCTCATTCAGAACCTCGAAATTAGTAGAATAAATTAGTGGCTGCAATTACACTCGATATTTTATGTTTTTGAGCCATTATTTCGTGATAAAATATAAAAAATTGTTTAAGTTATCCCATACGATTTGAAGTTGAACTTTAACCTTCAATAATTTTCAAACGAGTCGATTAAATAAAAAATCATATCAGAACTGTTTTGAAGAACATTCAATTTCCTACAAAAATATGTATAGACTTTTACAATACGCTGATTTGTTAGAACACTATAAAATTAAAAAAAAATGTTTCCCCTTGTTTTTAAATGGAAAATAGAAACTCACTCTCTTAATATTAATATTAAGAACTCAAACTTTACCAGATTTTTTTTTCATCATCGTGGACGATATTTTCACAATAATTAAAACAAATTTGGGTGCCTCCATGCCTTAGCGGTATATGATGTCAAATGTTAAAAGGAGGTAAAATCTCGTAATTTCTACTATAGTTCGGTATTATACGGTACTGGCAATGCCTCATTTTATACTGTGCATAGTAAACCCTGAACTGGTTCAAAAATATTTATCGCGAACAAAGAAATCTTTTCTGATCTAAGGAATTTACGGGTTGTTTTGTTCATCCGAGTCCAAATCTAATTTAACGAAAGAATCGGTAGAATCGGAGGAGAGTCTCGCTTCATCCACCAATTCCTCCTTACTCGTCTGATCTTTACTTCCCGTTTTTGATTCTTCCACTTTCTTTAAGCACTCTTTGGCGTCTTTGTCGGTAACCGCCTCTTTGACGAGCGGCAGGTTTTTAGGAATGTTTTCCTTGTTCTCGACTTTGCAATGTAAGGACGATCGCTTCTCGAGGCGCCTGTCCAGCGACTTCCTGTCGTCTTTAAGCAGATGATTATATTTTTCGAGATTGTTCAAGATCTTGCCGATCTGGCCGGCTTTCGCTTGGAGCCGGCTGACCATTTCGCCTTTTTGCGTCAGCTCCATCTCGCATTCCTATAATCAACCTCATTAACGACATATAGGAACACTAGAATATACTACGTGACAAAAAAGAAAGTGAACGCCCTGTGATACTAATTTTATTTTAATAATTTTTGTCGTGCGATCAAGCGTTCCGAAAGAGTAGCTTTAAATCATGTTTTAGGTTTAAGATTTTCACTAAAATCATTTTTATAAGATATATGGGTAGCAGTGGCACATCTAGAAATTGGCTTTGATAGGAGTTGTGCCAGTATCTAAGTGAACTGGTAAATTATTTATAAATATCTTCTTAAGGGGGGTAATTACAATTACCCCCATTATCCCTCCTGTATATGTGCCCCTGATGGGTTGTACTAAAATTGTCAATTTTGTCTGATATACAGGGTTGTTCACCAAATACGACACGGAGTATTGTAGCTAAACGATTAGATTTTTACAAATTGCAAGTTTTCGGTTCGTTGAAGGACTATTAGAGCTACACTTTAAAAATATTTTTACAAGATACAGAGTGTCCCAAATAAGTAAAAAATATTATAGTTGTATTTTTTTAAATGGAACACCTTGTAATATTATTCTATTTTTAGATTCTACGATTAAAATAAAGGTAAATTTGATTAAGGTGTATCACTCTTTAACCTTACGGTTTTTGAAATATTTTCAATTTTATGAAATTGCAGTAAAATAATTAAGGCTTCATTTCTCCAAGGGTATCAAAGATTTTAATACTAAATATTTATTGAAGTTTATTTATTGATTAGATATTCTGTTGCAATAATAAACAAAATACTACCGTATACAGAATGTCTAAAAATTTATATTAAATAATTACTGGCTTTAAACGGCAATAACTTGTTTAGTTTAAATGGAACACACTGTATATTTTATTATTTTATTTAATTGTCTATCAAATTGTATTTTACAACTTTTTACCTATCTCTTCAAGTTTTCGTAGAAAATGCATTTTCTTATAATTTAGACCTCATTTAGCACTATACGCATGGAATATTGACATTTTAGATTATTTTTAAAGATGAACAAATTTTCAAAGAGTACAGATACTAATATTGTCGATATAGTTCGCTTATTTCAATAAAAAAAACTTTAAATATTTTTTTGTTAAAGAGGACCAATTAATATGATCCCAGTATTCAAACTACATTAATTGATTGTTTACGTTGATTAATAATAATTGCTCCAAATACTAAAAAAGTGAATTTTGTATGTGTATTAGACGGTATGGTAAAAAGTAACACCTTATAAATTTTATTTAATTTTTTGACGAATGCTTATTTATAACAACAGAGACGTTCATTTTCATTAACTAATTTCTGGGCGGAAATAATGGTGGTATATTGAATTGGTATATTGTTTTATAAAGATTTAAATCGTTTTCTTCTTGTAGAATCTAAAAATAGAATAATATACAGCGTGTTCCATTTAAAAAAATACAACTATAATATTTTTTAGTTAATTGGAACACTCTGTATCTTGTAAAATTATTTTTAAATTGTAGTTCTAATAGTACTTCAACGCACCCAAAACTTACAATTTGTCAAAATCTAATCCTTTACCTACAATACTCCGTGTGGTATGTGGTGAACAACCCTGTATACCGACTGAATTTAAATTAAATGTATTTTTCTCCAAACAGAATTTTATGTCATAAATGAACAACTCTGTTGAGTTTTATTTAATCGTTTTGTTTTATTAAGTATTTCCTATACTTAAAATCGATGTTAATTGAGAATATTCTGTGAAAATTGTCTTGTCTTCTCAGACTTATCTTCTCACTTGACAAACCTATCAGCAACAGAGTAGAATAAAACTGAAATCACTTTAATTAATTCAATAATGAAATAATGAAATTTTCAGTTCATGAATTAATAAATACGATTTATTGCACTGGTGCAGCTGGAAATAATCATTAAAAACGTACATTTATGTCATAAAATACAAGGTGTTTCATTTGAAACAGTGGAGAAAAATACAATATGTAGTTTTCACTCATTCTGTATATGCAATATTCACCACCTATCCCTTTAAAAAGTACACTTATTATTAAAATACTTCCAAATAAAAAATATAAGTAATTCAATTGATATATTATAATTTTTGTAGAGAAAACTGGTTATATTTCAAAAACCACTCTGTATAGAATATGGCATTATTGTTATTGTACTTTTAAAATAGTAATTTAATCGCAAATACTATGAGCTAAGAAATATTGTTGATTCCATTTAAAAATACTACAATCTTTGTGCAAAAATATATTTGAAGCATCCTGTATATCTATAAAAATAATTTTAAAATGTGCGCTCCTGTTGCCCATATATTTAAAAAAAGGAATGAAAATCGCAAATATAAAATGTGATATGGAGCCCTCTTTTGGAACAGTAGGTCACCCTCCAGAACAAGTTGTTGAAATCATTCAATTGCTTTAATTCAAATGAAAAAAACAAATAGTTTTATTAAACAAATAGTTTTAATAAGCCGCAATATATTATTTCTTAAACGTTTTTAAAAGCCGGCGTAAGCTCCATTTTACTCTAGAATATTTGAAAAAAATAATGAGGTGATTTAAAAAAACGATGATAGATGAGCCGATTTAATTATTTGTCGATCTTAACTAAAATTAGAGATCAATAAATGTAACTAACTTACTTGCAACTTTTTGTACATTTCCAAATTGATTAGCTTAATGTCGTCAAGCTGTCGGCGTAAAGATACTATCGTATCCTGTTTCTCGTGAATGTCTTTCTCCAAAAGTTTCATAGCTACCTCCATTTCAGCCTTAAGGCACATCTAAAAAGCAATTTAATTATGAAGTGTTTTGAAGAAAACGTTCAAATAATTGAAGGGATGGCTGAAATAACCAGGCAGCTTCATTTTAACAATTTTTGCTAGCCAAACCAGACAGTTCTAAGCGCTGTCCGGTTTTTGCTGCAACCAAAAGCAAAGTAGCTCCAATTACGTTCTCATATATCGTCAGTGAAACGTGATAACCTGCTAACTCCATTTTTTACGTTAATAAGGTTTTTTATACCATTAGAAAGAGAAAAAAATACGCTATAAGTTGGGAAAGCAAACACATTTTTTCCCATTAAAGAAAATTTTTTATTTCAACTCAATAATATCTGCTAACTCCTAGTGATCTGAAATAGCCACCGAAATGCTGCTATCTCAGTAATTTCCGTTACGATCACGCTAAAGCAAACACACAGATTCTTAGTCGTATGCTTTTTTTTAGTACAGTACGTCGATCCAGGGTCGCACTAGGCCAAAGGGGCTCGGGTGGCAATGTAAGGAGGGGCCGTGTGTTTTTTTTGCGTATTTTTTCGCCTTACGTTTTGGTCAATTTTTTCCTATTATATACAGGGTGAGTCTTAAATAAGTGCAAATATTTTTAGGGTAGTATATTTCGACCGAAGAAACACGACTATGAGGTTTTTTGCGCGAAATTTTTTTTTTTTGAAAGTTTGGAATTTTTAAAAAATTTCCAAAATTTGGACTTTTTTTTAATTTTTAGTTTAAAAACATACTTTGTTTGTAATATGGTAACATAGGTAGTAGACTAAATTTACAAGAAAGAAAATCCAATGATTCTCAAAATTATAGCAAAAAATTGGAAATTTTAAAAGTGAAATAACTCGGTTGTTTCAGATTTATTTGAAAAAACGGTAAAGAGAAAATATTATGTTTCTTTTATCGAGATTTACCAGCCTGAACATATTGGTACTTATTTAAGACTCACCCTGTATAGAAATTAGGGAACTACCCTAATGCAAGGTAAATCCATGCAATGCAAATTCCATAATGCAATGCAAAAGCAAATATTGTTAAGAATAAATAATGAAGTATAAAGGGGGCCCGCAAAGGCTGGGCCCCCCTAATAGTTATCTATATAATATGGCCAGTCCGACCCTGCGTCGATTCGTTCTGTAAATACGGGGTATCCGTAAAGGGTAAGGGGAAAAACGAAATTCTATATACACGAACAATTCATCGGCGTGCTATAAATAGTTTAAATAACCATTACTTACTTGTACAATAATTTCCATAATACCTAATCAGTTTTATCTTTTTTTAACGTTTTTTCACGTAAATGATACATAATTTTTATAAAAATTGAAAAGATAAGGAGAAAAGTAATAAAAATTTAATAAAATCACGCACTGTCTTCCAAGCTCGGTCTACTACCGTTGTATAAAAATTAGGAGATAAGCATGGAAGAATTCTACCATATCTTCTAAGAATTATAAGTTTAATTTTTAAATTATTTTCATATTCATTAAGTCCAAAATTCTGCTACTTCAGTTCTTTAAAAATGCAAAAAATTTAAAAATTTTCATTAAATATTTAAGACTTGGACTTGTATGTTTTGCTTCTAGACCGACGATATTATAAATATATGGTTATGAATATCATATTTTTTAAATTTAATTGATTATTTCTAAATCTGTTTGGGTAATATTCATTTCCATTTTCAAAAATTCAAACAATAAAGGTTGCTATCTCCAGAAGTATATTTTTATTTCTGCAAGACGAATATCTGCTATCTCCCTATTGTGTCTGAAAAAAATGACGTAACACGAAATATTAAGTTTTATTGTTCCCAGCAAATAAAATTCTTATCTCTTTATCATATTAACGCATCAAAATACTTCCTACATGTGTACATATTTTTTTGTACCGTTTTTTTGCTCTCCTGTAAAGTTAGGAATAATGGAGTTAGCAGTTTATCACGTTTCACCGACGATATGTACTATTATATGGAAACTTTGAAAAAAAAATTGTACTATTATGGAAACTTTATATGGAAAATTTGATTATTGCAGGGCACGATAGGCCTATTTTTAAAGGGTAACTCAGGAAAAATCTCATTTTCGCAAAAAAGTGGAACTGTCTGGTTATTGTACGAGTACATGAATTCATATTCAAGTATAGAATGACCGAGAGTAATTATCTCCAAGAACTTTGAACAGAACTAGAATTTTATCTGTACATTAATGAACAAAAAATACTACAATTTAAAGTGTTTCTTGTAGGTTATAATTTTTCCAGAAGATTACGTAAACTACATTGATTCGGTCACACAAAGTTCTACATTCATAATACGGCACATAAGAACAGTGAAATATAAGTATCTAATATGAAATCACAAGAAATATATTTATTATAAGTAATAGTCCCCTATGATAAAAATGATATGCAATCTACAGGGTGATTCAAAAAACGTGCCATCTCGCGTGGGGAGATGCCTCACGTAAAAATAAGATTTATTTTTCATATCAACATAGGTCCGATGAAGAAAATTAACTACATATGACACTATGATAAAAAAACAACCTCCTGTATAGAGCAGAAACATGGACAATGACCAAGAAATACAAAAAGAGGGTCGAGGCAGTAGAAATGGATGCTATTAGAGGATCAATGAGAATCTCCCGACAACAAAAAATAAGAAACGATAAATATCATAAAACAAGAAATGGGTATAGATGGTACAATAACACAAGATATAGAGAGGAAGCAGCTGATCTAGTATGGACATTTGAGAACAATGAATTGGCAATCAGAACAAGGAGGGCAGAAACTGGAATGGCAAAAGCCAAACGTTCAAAAATCTATGATTGAAAGAAACCTCCAACAGAGAGAGGATTGTACGAATAGAATAGGCCAGAAATTGGATAGTTTTAAACCGATTAATATGTACGTATCAATATTACCTGTATTTCTAGTTCATGATCTGCTTCCTGTCTTAATTTTCTTTCTTCTTCTAACCTTTGTTTCAATTCCTCCATTTCTCCAGTGGCAACTTTAGATTCTTTATCGTTTGTGTTGATTATATTCACTCCACTTAAACTCATGGCATATCTGGAAATTTAGTATCTTTTTTTGTTTAAACGCACAATTCTTCTACAGCACGTTTCGGCAACAAGATTTATGTTATAACGACAGTCTTTTTTTGCAAGGAATTTGGAATAATTTCTAAAACTCCATAACGCAAAGCGATGAACTTCTTATCTTTCACGATAAAATGAATTTATAAAAGTTAGTGTTCATACTATGTTATAATAAAAAAAAACAGATACGGACTGGTTTCTGACTCATACAAAATCACGATGCACATACTACCGATATGCTACGTGGTGCAATATAAATCTCATAGGGAGCGACGATATTTTTACTATAGAAGAAACAACAAACAGATTAAAATGTGACAAATTCATCTACCTGTATCAATGAATAAAAAGACTAAGGAAGGAACATAGTATGAAAAAAATAAGAGCAAACGCGATGGAACTTTAATATGACTCACTTATATTTCGGTTTATCAGTAGTGTTCAATTATTTTTAATGTGTTAAATAATAAAGTAAAAGTATCTTATGTAACATAATTGTTATTAAATTAAAAACTGAATTTTTGACAAGAAACAAGCTATATTAATTTACAAGTTGTTATTGCTTGGTGTATTTACTGTGTCAGTATAGATGTGTAATAATCTGTGTAAGAATACATGGGATTATAAGTTTAAGAAACAAAAAAAACATAAAAGAATTAAATAATTTAAAAAAATATAGTAAACAGTATTAAAGTAAAAAAAAATAACTCACCCTCCTGGATCTTTTCCACATTCCTGCCTTAATTGCCTGTTTTCCTCGTAGAGGGCCAGCAGGTTGTTTTTGGCAATGGCGAGATCCTCCTTCATCAGTGCGTTCGTCGTTGTCAGACTCTCGACTTTGGTTTGTAAGTTGGCAACTGTTGCGCTAAAATCCATAAGTGTTTTTTTAGTATACCGAACAAACATCTTTTCTTAAGAGCAACGCAGTTTTGAAGGTTCTCAAGATTCTATGCTGGGTGTACTATTCTTCTAATCATGTCAGAAACCTTTCACGTGTTTATTATTTGTCAAATACTCTAAATACTTGTCAAATATTTAAAGCATTGGTAAAATAATAAAAAACAGAAATTTTATTCTTGTAGAAAATGTATTTTTGTGTTAGTAGAGATGTTTCTATAAAATAAATATTTGGTAAGAAATTTACCTAACTAATGACCCTTTTTTATGTCCACTTTCATTTCAAACAAAGGGACGAAATGTAAACAAGGTGCGTTCTTAGGTCATTGGTGGCTTTTGATTTTTTATGTTGCTGACAGTGGTTAGCGACATAAAGGGTGTTCTTCAAAAGTGGCTTACCCCTATAACTTTTTTTTTCAGATAAAACAACGAAATTTGGTATGTTACTATATGACATAAATCGGGATTGATTGACATATTCAATTAATCTCCGTCACTTCCTGTTTCATCGGAAATGAACACCAATTCTGATTTTTAAATGGCACCTTCAGTATTTTTTACGTTATTTTATACAAAATTACATTCTGAATAGAGAAGAAATGAAGAGTCAGAAAGAAAAGAATTCAGAAAATGTAATTCTGAAGAATGACATATCATACGTCAATTTTTGACATTTGCGCTTAAAAAATGGTATTTAAAATTTCAATCTAGAGTGTGGTTGTGTTAAAAACCCTGAATTTTAATCAATGACCTTTGGAAAAATGGATTTTTTAATAATTTAACTTTTTTCGTGTCTTCCTGGCCATTTAAAATATGCCCAAATCGTATTTTTAATCATAAGTCAATTTTTTCAAATGGAACAAGAGTGACTCATTAGCATATTTGGGAAAAGCATTTTTTACGAATAATTTGGTACCACATACTTGGTATTTCGAATCAAATTGTCTTACATTTATGAGATTTAAAATATGTACTATTTTTTCAAGCAAAAAAGTCAAAAGTTGACATATGACATATGATATGTCATTGTATTCAGAATGCCATTTTCTCTAAAATAAAGTAAAAAATACCGTGGGTACCATTTAAAATCAAAAGTTGTAGTCAATCCGGTGAATCAGGAAACGAACTAAAGTAATTGAATACGTCAAGCAGTCCTCAGTTATGTACCTAGTTATCTACTCACATACCAACTCTTGTTTTTTATCTAAAGAAATACAAAAGTAATAGAGGTGAACCACTAAAAAACACCCAGTATAGTGTAGTGTAATCAAGAGATTGTCATTATTTTTTATAAAGTATTTTAGAATCATTTAAAAGAAAAAATTAAAATATAAAACTGTACAAATAATAGAAATACCGAAAATGTCATTGATGTTCATTTCCCAGCCAACTGGACGCCGTTTTTTTTCGATCATACGGTAGTTTATTAAATATCGATTAGTCTGTCCAATAGGAGGATCCCTGACAGTCACAGTCGTGTCTGGAGTCTGTCATTTTATTTCATAGGCAAATTGCATTTTTCGTAATTTTTTTGGAAGTCGTGTGTTTTTTTATTTTTTCAGATAAAATAGACGAGACTTGGTATGTTAATAGATGACATAAATTAGGAATGATTGGTGTATTCAATTGTTTTTGGTCACTTCCTGTCTCGCTTCCTGCTTCACCGGAAATAATGACAACTTTTGATTTTTAAATGACACCCTCGGTATATTTTTATTTTATTTGATAGAAAATGACACTATGAATAGAATGACATACCATATGTCAACTTTTGACATTTTCGCTTAAAAAATCGTATTTTAAATTTCAATCTAGAGCGCCAAGGGTGTGTTAAAAACATTAATTTTTAATTAAGAAGCCTTGAAAAAATAGATTTGATCGTCTAATGTTTTTCGTTTCTTGTCCTAGCCGGCTAAAAAATGCCCAAATCGTATTTTTAATCATATTTTAATTTCGTCAAATGGAACAAGGTTAGGAGGAATGTGCCACTAGCATATTTGAAAAAAAAACATTTTTTTACAAATAATTTCGTATCAACTTGTCGTTATGAACCACATGTTATAATTTAAAATAAATTATATGCGAAAATGTCAAAAGTTGACATGACTGAGGGTGCCATTTAAAAATCAAAAGTTGTAGTAATTTCCAGTGAAGCAGAAAGTGACCGAAAACAATTGAATACGTCAATCAATCCAAAATATACCAAATCTCGTTTTTTTTGTCTGAAAAAATAAAAAAAGTTATAGGGGTGAGCCACTTTTGAGACCCACCCGGTATATCTTAGAAAAGCAATGCATTAAAAGAACACAAATCTTCCAATCCCCAAAATTTACAACTTCCAGGAAGCAATATTGCAATGTACACGTTTGTTAAAGGATACTCTAATTAACAAAACTTACTTTAAATGACGATTCAATTCTTCAATGTAATTTTTCTGATCCAGGACCGTGACCATATTATCTTGATCGTCGTTATTTGACTCACTTGTGACGTGATTTGGTGATCTCAAGTACAAGGAAAAGTCAATAACACCTTGAGGACAATCTAAATCTTCTTCCTAGATATCCCAGAACAAAATCAATAACAACTATACCTAATAATGGGATATTTTCAACTTCGTTTCAATTCTACTCTTTCGTGAAACAGACCATACTTGGTCTTGAAACCTAGTTACAGCATTATTAGAATCGTATATAAAGCAGACTTTTTTTGATAACATTACAGAAGAACTCAAAAGAGTAGATATTTTCAATAAATAGAATAATTTACCTTAACGCAGAGGTTGCAATCGATGACGTTTAGACCGACCAGCAATCCAATGATGATTATGGCTTCGTCACTCAGCATCAAGGCGTCTGGTTCGAAATATTCGACTAAAGCTTCGTCTTTGTGATCGATTAACACTTTCAAGTAATCGGCGAGTTTCTTCTGCATTAGGGCGATCCTGAGCCAGGCACGAGCTCTACCCATGTGGGTTCTGCAAGTGGGACGGTCTTTAGAGGATATTACCGAGCGTACTTAATATGTTACAATATACTTTTAATTTAGTTAATACAGGGTGGCACTACTCATACGATTCGGACTATCCAAGATAAAAGTCAATTTGTATGTACATTCAAATGCGAAAAAAACGCAATGGAACCAAACAACCTAACCTAACCAAATAAAATGTAATATTTTTTTTAATTTAGTCCTATTTTCTTGATTTTTTTAACAAACTGTATATAAATATATCGACTTTAATTCGTAAACTCAGTTTATTATAAACTTTAGTATTTGACTTATTATACAGAGTTAATGAAAGAGTTGTTTTTTACCCTATCTAACACCCTGTGCAATAATTTTGTAAGCAACTTTTCCTAAAACCTTATTTCTCGGTCAGAACCGTGTCTCCTGAATATTTTGTTTTTTTTTGACTCACGTCAACACATACCTTGCTTAATTTTTAAGAGCAAACTTGCCACAAACGTTTTGTAATTTTTTCAATTATCCAGTGGCGGCTCGTGAGTATATAGGAAGATGAGGCTACACGAGGTTAATAATTTTATTTAAATACAAACAAATTTTCTCACCTATGTAGTATTATTCTGCAACGCGTTGTCCGTTTTTTTGAAATGGTACGAAAACTATTAGGTTTACTACCAATAAAAGTTCTTGAATACCTATTGCCTACCTTGCCTCTTATCATTAAATATTTCTGAAATTTTTGACTCTTTAATATTTGTGTTAAATTCATTTTAGAAAAGTTTCATTTCATTTTAGAAAAGGAGTTTCAAGTACAGAAAGATTAACGGTATGAATAGGATTAATTTTAAAGAAAACACTAAAATTCAACTCCTCTTCGTCACTTTAAAATAAATATTATACCGGTCAAGAAAAGCCCTAACCTTCAAATTTTAACAATATTTGTTGCGTTGACTTTTAAGAACTACTAAAACTCCACCTTATCTGTGCGTAATCAAGTTAAAAATACTATATCTAATAGCCATCAAATAATTTAAATTTACAAACACAAACGATCGAAATAATTCTAGGCCGTAACTGTCCAAATAAAAACTAAAACATACGCCAATTAATTCACCCACGCTGTGAACGAACTTCATGAGTCCTGCATACAAGACAAGTTGGAGACGTTGTCCACCGTTGTCGCAATAGTCAATAGTCAGATAATTTAAACTACCAATGAAAACATACCCAAGCGCCAAATATTTCGCCTCAACCCTGCGATAGAGATGCGTACCCCGTTGTCGACGCGTCAAGTCAAAAGACGACGCGTCAAGTACATTTTCACATACCTGACTGTCGGAAGATCTCTAACACTTGCAGTAATATCTTGTGCTTCTGGAGTATATTTTTCAACCATTTGCAATATATCCCACAGTTCCTTCTTTGGTCCTAACAATCCCTAAAAGAGGCAGTAAAAAAATTAACTTAACAACTCTGGTTCTGGTTCCACATGATCAAAACAAACCTTTTTCGGCTTTAGGCCATGCCTCAGAACATGCTCCAAGACAATAAAGAAGTGTTGCAGAGGCATATGGTCTGAATCCAACATTCTGCCATATCTCAGAGACTGTTCGATCAGCTCTTTCACAACCAATTTGCTGATGTTAACCAAGTTACTTCGTTCAATAACCACCGGGTCTCGACCTGTAAAGTATATTATTTTAATGAGTAATAAGAAATTAGTATAATAAAAAAAAATAAGTTGAATCTTTTAGGTTATAAAAAAATATTCAAAACTTTCAAAATATTAAATTATAATGGTTTTGTAGCAATATTCTTATCATATTAGGCGTTTCGCTATATATTAAACAGAATTAATATCATCTCTAGACTCTATCCCGTATTACAGCTATATTTTTTTAACCAGGTCAAATTTAACTACCTACTAATTTTCAAGACAGAGCTTTCCGATATCCGTGCTCCACTGGTATAAAAAATCATATACAGGGTGCTACAAATTCGAGGTACGAGCATTGGTATCTCGGAAACCGTACGAAGATGGTTAAATTAAGGTAAATTTGCGCCATCCTGGACACCCTGTACAGGGTGTCCCATTTTAGTTGAAATCATACGGTATCTTTGTTATTTGTGAAGATAGAATGGTGCGATTTGCACAAACTTGTGCCACTTTTTTGTCAAACGGAAGATGCGGTCAACAAAATTTTCATAGCCCTCTTCGTTTCAGCCCCCGTATCTCTGTAATTGTTAAAGGTATCGAGAAGGTAAAAACTGTTTATTGTAGAAATTTTTACGTATAATACAGTGGCGTAGTCTGTTATTCTACGAAAAGAATATTTTTGAAGAGATGAACTATAGTTATGTCTTTTTTTAAATAGAACCCTGTATATTTATAAATTACATGATCTGGCTTGCCATAAGCTTCTCAAAAATATATATCATCTATATTTATTTTCAGCATTTACTGCAATATTAAAAAAAAATATTAAAAGATCATATTTATTAGTAGGCCATGATAGATATTAAAAGAAACTAGAGAATTATTAAAAATATACTGCTATCTGTCTCTTGTTTTATTCTGGGGGCCACTAATAAATTATTTATATATTAGGGAAACTTAACTTTTTACCGCTATTTGTAAATCTTGAAACCTATCGTGTCGGAATTTTTAAATATTCCTTTAGCTAATTTACGTGAAATAATATACTTTCAGCAAGATGGGGCTGCCCCTCACAACTTGACTTACAACGAAAGTATTATTAAATTATTATTTCTCAAATCAATGAATTGGAACCAATGTACCCATATGATGGCCTCCCCGATTCCCGGATTTGTCCGTTCTCGATTTCTGATTTTGGGGATTTTTGAAATATGAAATATGACGGGCAACAACACAATGTCGAACACCTGGAAAATGCTTTAATAAAGCAAGCTGTTAAATATTTGCAAACCTATCCCGTTTATAATAAATTCCGTTATAAAAAAAGAAAAATATATTCAGAGATTCAAAAGTAAAATACGTCAAATCCAAATAAAATTTTAATATGTGTATGACTATTTTAGTAAATACCATTTTGATGTTTTGTTATTTATCGGCGGACTACTAATAAGAAAATCCTATATTTTCAATATTGTAGTAAATAATGAAAATAAATATGTATACAGGGTGGCGTACCTCATTCGCTTCGGTTGATTATACGAAAACGGAAAGATGTAGAAACAAAATATTTAATATGTTTAAAATCTTTGGTTTTTGAGATATTGAAAGATATTTAAATTTGCATGCTACAATAGAATAGATTATCAACACCCTGTACATTACTTTTCAGAATTAGTTCTTGTGCTGGGTTTAAAGGTAGAGAAATAAACTTTACAGAAAAATGTTATTCCTTCCTTAAATGTATACAGGGGTATCAAAAATTGCTGGTCTATTTTAAATATTTATTTTACATAAGAACTTCGTTATTTTAAATGCAACACTATGTATTTTTTTAAATAAGTCGAAGCAGATTTAAATGCTCTTTCAAACTATATTAGGGTTTCCTATACCTATCTGGCTCAGATTTTGAATAAAAAGCGATTTTTCAATAAAATTGTAATCAAGATGGCTAGTGTTGTCATGGCAAGTTTCTAATGACAGTTAGTAACTATTTTCAAAATCGAAATTAGTTTATCGACTTATTTACATTTATACCAGTTCACTTTTATTTAATTTATCTACAATAGTTTAATAAATAATATTTATTAAAAATATGTTTATTATTCTATCAAGAAAAACGAAGAAGTAGTCTTTGAATTATTTTACGATGACTTGTAGATACATGGATTTTCTATAAAAGAGCCAATTACGGCAAATTCATTTTCTTCACTTCCAACGACAGATTTCTGTATAATAGTTTTTTTATAAACCACACTACCAGGCGACATAGGACAAGAAGTTTTTAAAGAAACTCTTATCAGGAAGTAATTCTATTTGGATATCTTTGAGCATAAGTCCTTGAGGTCAAGAAGCAATTTTCCTCACAAAATAATATCACTAGTAACATATCTATTCGTTCCGCCAGCAGATACTGCTTTATTTTTCTTGATATAATAATGAATACTTACTTATTAAACTATTGTAGGTAAATTTAAGTAAACTGTTATAAATTATAAATAATAGTGTCCATAAACTAATGTCGACTTTGAAAATAATTACTGTCACTAGAAAATTGCCATGGCGACACCAGCCATCTTGATTACAATTTTATTTAAAAATCGCTTTTTATTCAAAATCTAAGCTAGATAGGTATAGAAAACCCTAATATAGTTTGAAAGAGCATTTGAATCTGCTTCGACTTATTTAAAAAAATACAGGGTGTTATATTTGAAATAACAAAGTTTTTATATAAAATATATCCTTAAAATAGATCAGCAACTTTTAATAGCCCTGTATAAATTTAAGGAATCAATACCATTTTTCAGTAAAGTTTATTTCTCTACCTTTAAACTCAGCATAAGAATTAATTCTGAAAAGTAATGTACAGGGTGTTAATAGTCTATTCTATTGTAGAATGCAAATTTAAATATCTTTAAATATCTCAAAAACTAAAGATTTTAAACATATTTAACTCTTATAATAAATGCCTTTTTTTAGGCTCAAGAATCCAAAAATGAAATAAAATACCGGGTATTCTATAAGAAAAAATATAATTTTGGTATGGATCTTAGTTCTGAAACACCCTGTATATTTCAAAATAATTTTAAATTGTGTACATTGTCTCCCCACATATACCCCTAAAATATTTTGTTTCTACATCTTTCCGTTTTCGTATAATCAACCGAGGCGAGTGAGGTGCGCCACCCTGTAGAGTGATATATATTTTTGAGAAGCTCATAGCAAGGCGGATCATATGATTTATAAATAAACAGGGTGTTCCATTTGAAAAAATCTAACTTTCGTTCATATTTTCAAAAACATTTTTTTCGCAGAGTAACAGACTACGCCACTGTATTCTACGTAAAAAGTTCTACAATAAACAGTTTTCACCTTCTCGATACCTTTAACAATAATAGAGATACGGGGGCTGTCCCAAATTGCAAAATTTTCGAAAAGATTCTGTAATTCAGAAACGAAGAGCGCTATGAAAATTTTGTTGACCGCATCTTGCGTTTGACAAAAAAGTGGCACAGGTTTGTGCAAACCGCATATTTACTAATAACGGAGATACCGTATAATTCCAACTAAAATGGGACACCCTGTACATACAACAAGCTTCAAAAAATCGATATTTAGGAATTGTATAAATTTTGAATAACATTAAAAAAATTAAATGCTATTATGCTACTATAATCACATCAGTTGTAGCCCCTTTCATAAAAGAGTAGCTGAAAACCTTAATAATCTTTCTTTAGTACCTAACTTGTCCCTAATAAGCAACAAAAATAAAAACAATTGCAAAAATGCAACCAAAAAACAGGACATTCTGTATTCTGTTGACCAATCGTTATTTCCGATGACTCTTACCAAACATCGGTATATGCTCAGGGGTGGGTGGCGACATGACCTTGTTATTAATAGATTCCTGCATATTAAACTCCACATCTTGCAACTCCTTCAAGCAGAGCCACTCGCCATCAACCGACACGCGGAAATTGCACAAGTAAATCGTATCCTGAGCGCCGGCCATTTCCTGTTCCGCAACATTTCCCGCAGTAATGCCATCGGGCAGCTCTTGCACCTTCATTTTGTCGCTAATCGATAAAAAAACTGGACAATCTTAACTATTCCACGGTGTTTTTTATCCAAACAACTCGTCACGATAAACTTTAACGACGACTTTCTCGGGAAACATGCCAGAAACGCTCTGTACTTAAAGGGCGGTATTGATTTTCCCCCTTGCGACCGATTGCGGTCCCCCTTGCGGTCCTTTTTCCACGGGTAAATCGATAAAAGCGTTCGTGATTCTACGTCGTTGGGAAATCACGAAAATTCAGATGCATTTCAAGATAAACTTTTAAATAAATGCACTTTCGATTAATAATGAAAGTGAAAAGTACAAAAAATACTTTTTAAAAAAAAAATTACCGCAAACAAGCTTTATATTGTTTAAAAACCACAATAAATTTTATTTATTCTACCAAAATGTTTTATTTCACATAAATTAATGTATTACACCTTTTGAACGAAATATCTGTTACCTGTTAATATTTAAAGCAAAATACAAACTCCAGAAACCTATTTTAAATATATTAAAAGACTTTTAAAACTAACAATATGTTCATCGAGTCAACATACAACTAAACATATTTTACTACAAACTGACCAGATACAAACATTGTACCACAAGTTCAATATATCACGTCGAAATTTAAAATTGAACTATAATAATTCTTTATTTAGTTCTTAAGGAACAAATAATAATAAAAGCATTTCAAAAAATAGAATTAAACATTTACTAACCTTTGATGAGCTTCGGTCTACTTTTAAAAGGTATATTTACTAGTAGGTTTGTCCACTGAAATTCAGAAGACACGGAAGAGCTTCTGGAAAATGTTTTATCCGTATTTGAACGAGGAGTTGTTGGAGAACCTTCACTACTTGCAGCCATTTTTAACCATTTGTTGTTGATCGAATTTGTTGGTTAGAATTTGTTTGTCAAAATCAGTTGTTTTTGGTGGATGTCGTCGATGAAGTGTCAAATTATCTCTCGTAGAGGATAAAAGAAGGATTGGATTGGGATTGGATAAAAATATAAAAATAACTGTTTATTTATTCCGTATTCTTAGCTTTTATCATAGATTAATATAAATATTAAACTCGTTGTTAATATTTTGGGTAAATTATAATTAAAATAGTGTAAATTATCACTTTTAAAATAAATATTTTATATATGCGCTAGTCCCATTTTTCAGCTTAATGGTGAGGCGGGATGAAGAATTCAGACAACCAGTAATACACATATTTTGTTTAACATTTAACACAGGAGTTTAAGAAAAAGTTCATATACAGAGTGTTTCAAAAAACATGTGTTACCTCTCGTAGGGAGATTTCTCATATAAAATTAAGAGTGATTTTTTATATCAATATAGGTTCGATTCTGCTTTGTTTCGTAGCTACAGGAGGTTAAAATCTTGTTTTTTTTTCGATTTATTATAATTTTCTTCCAAGTGGTTTTTTAGTGACTCAATTGAAATAGTAAAGGTAAAAGCTATTATAAGCCTTACATATTTTGATGCTAAAAAAGTGCCGACAGATTCACCAGGGACGTGCATATGGGTTACAGTGGCGGCTCGTATAATATAGATTACTAACAATATATAATTTAATGTAATTTTTTAGGTAATTCACAATTAAAACAATTTGAATCAGTTCTTAAAATCTTTATTTTTCTTTATAGAACAATTCTTTTTTAGCTTAACGGTATATTATCAACAGTTTAGTCAGTCAGTAATACAAATATAGATTGTGTTGGTGGCAAAAAATTATAAGTAAAACATTATATATTATATTTGTCGTTATCTATAATAATCCCCGAATTGTCATAATTCCGAGACTTCCCATCCTAATACCAATAACACTACTACCAATCATAATATAGAGGTTCTATATCAAGAAAATCTGAATTTTCATCAGAAACTGAAGATCTAGTAGGTTCTAATTCTAGTTCATCTAATTTTTCAGTAGTAGACGTAGTAACAGAGTCCATATCTGATCGTGCCAAATATGCAGGAGAAAGCGTAACAGATTTTAATTTTGCTCGTATTATATATTGAGGAATAGTCAATGAAATCTGAGTAGTCGATTCTATATTTGATTGCGCTAAATCTTGAGAAGGTATTGTAGTAGATTCTGAATCTGATATTACTAAATCCTCAGGCGTATGAGAAGTAGCAATAGATTCTTCACTTGATTGTACTAAATCTTGAGAGAATCTATTTATAGTAACATAATCTGATGAACTTGATTCTACCAAACTCTCAGGATTATTTGTGGTGGTAACAGATTCTAAAGTTGAACCTACTATAGGAGCATGTGTAGTACTTGGAGGAGTAGTAGAATCTAAATTTGATTGTGCAATTATTTCACGATGAAATTTAATATAAGAATCTAAATCGAAATACTGGAAGCCTGCAGGACTACGTTTTATAAAAGGTATGTAGCGGCTGTGTACACCTGCATATTCAAATTGATTTCTTGGTTCAATTTTAAGTAGAAAACTATAATCATCCAAGCTATTGCCATTGGAATCTTCTTTTCTCGGATTTTGACAGATGTACGGTTTTTCTTCGTCACAAGAAAAATCGTTCCAGCCCAAATGGTGTTCGTCCCATTTCAGTTCGAGACAGTTTTCGGTATTGAAAGCATCATTGGGTTCATCAGGCAGCCAACCGTTTTCAACGTTGTCTCCAACCTCTATGTCGGTGGTATCCCAGTAGAATGTACCGTTAGGGTATTTTATTCCAGCCAGCCAATAGCCATCTGGAATTAAAAGAAAAATAAGTCAGTAATACATATAAAAAAGGAACTACAAATGACATCCCAATAAAACGAGGAGTAAGACAGGGGTGTGTTTTGTCACCGTTATTATTCAACTTGTATTCGGAGAACATTTTTAACGAAGCTTTATCCGGCAGAATAGAAGACGTTAAAATTGGAAACGAAATCATAAATAACGTAAGGTACGCAGACGACACCGCCATTGTCTCAGAAAGCATGGAAGACTTGCAAACGCTGCTAGACAGGGTACAAGAAGCTAGTTGCAAATGGGGTATTAATATAAATATACAAGAAGACGAAATAAATGTTTGTACAATATTGGACACAATATTGAGTATCACATTTTAGATATTTAGGAAGCTGGCGTTGTATCACATTATTGAATGGGATACTGTGGGACAGAAGCATAAACAACAAGAACAAAACTCTAATATATAATACCATCATCAAGTCAAACCACGTACCGGGTGGCCAACTAAGAATGGACGCCGGCTGTATCTCAGAAAGAACTTATCGTATAACTTTGGGAAAAAAAATCTAATAAGTAAATCGACCAAGAGAAATCGCTGGAAATTATTTTCAAGGTCGAAAAATTCCCGCTAGGGGGCGTTTCTCTGGTAGCCAATCAGAAAACAAGATTTTTCTCAAAAATATGCAGGTGAATAGGTATTTTAAATATTACTATTGTAATCATGGATAAATTTGTAATATTTTTGACATAGAGCATTTTGCTCTCAGAAAAATACTCTATACCACAAAAATTACAAATTTCTTGATGATTACAACAGTAATATTTAAAATACCTGTTCACCTGCATATTTTTGAGAAAAACCCTGGTTTCTGATTGGTTATCAGAGAAACGCCCCCTAGCGGACATTTTTTGAACTTGAAAATAATTTCCAGCGATTTCTCTTGGTTGATTTACTTATTATAATTTTTTTCCCAAAGTTATACGATAAGTAGTTTCTGAGATACAGCCGGCGTCCATTCTTAGTTGGCCACCCGGTACAGCTGTGAAGTGTGGCCAATTAAGGAAACAACAAAACGAATGCTGGAAGCTACAGAGATGGATTTTTGGAGAAGATCAGCAGGCAAATCAAGACTCGAGCGAATAACTAATGAACGCATAAGAGAGATTATGGAAGTTAAACATACGATAGTGGACGAGATAAAGAACAGTCAACTCATATGGAACGGGCATGTCCAAAGAATGGCAGAAATAAGAATCCCAAAGCAATTTATAAACTGGAAACCTGCAGGAAGAAGAAAACCGGGTAGACCGAGAAGAAGTTGGCAGGAAGGGATTGACACGTTTATGGAGGAAAGATCTCTCGGAGACGGTGCATGGAGAGACAGACAGGCATGGAGAGATGGCATCGGAAGACGTAGAACGTTTTAAAATGATTAATATATACAGGTTGGTCCGAACTGTATTCCAGAAACTTCGGCAACATATTCTGCAGATAAAAATATGTAACAAATTTCGCACCAATGTATGTCCTAAAATGCTTAGTTTCGAAGATACAGGGTGTAGAAGTTTCATTTTTATTTCGATTTTTTTCAAATAATGTCTGAAGTAACATCAATATTTGGATGAAAATTGGTACCTGGGAGTTTTTTGATATGAGAAATTTGATGTCAATATGACTCCTACTTTTAGAGGGCGCCATCTGCATATTTTTAACTGGTTTGAAGAGTACCTAATAAATTTTTGTCCGTACCTGTATAAAACTACTGAGTAAAAAAATATACATTTATGGTAAAAAAGGTCTCTTGGTAAAAATCGCTACGAGTAATGGTTCTCGAGATATTTGGAATCGAAATTATCAATACCTGTCATCATTGACATAAATTAAACATGTTGACAAATAGTTATTAGACTCAGATAATAAATTTGAAGTGTTTTTGTGCCAAATGTTCAACAGAAACTGTTTTATCATCATTTTTTCGCAAAAAATATGATTAATTTTAAAAAAATTCCAAATTTATTATTTCAGTCAAATAACTATATACTCAACGTGTTTATTTTGTGTCAATTATGACATGTATTGACTATTTCCTTTCTTAATATTTTGAGAACGGTTGCTCGTAGCGATTTTTACTAAGAGACATTTTTTACGTAAAAAGTAACGGAAATGTATATTTTTTCACTTAATAGTTTTATACAGGTACGGACGAAAAGTTATTACTCTTCAAAACAGTTAAAACACATGTAGGTGGCGCCCCCTACAAATAGAAATCCTACTGACATCAAAATCAAAATTCTCATGTCAAAAAACTCCCACACTGCAATTTTCATCCAAATATTGACGCTTCTTCATAAATTATTTGGAAAAAATCGAAATAAAAATGAAACTTCTACACCCTGTATCTCCGAAACTAAGCATTTTAGGGCATACACTTATAAGAACTCTTTCACTTATTTTTATCCACAGAATACGCTGCCGAAGTTTCCGGAATACAGTTCGGACCACCCTGTATATTAGGTATTTACTTCATATATTTTCATATATTTTTAGTATTTTTAGGTTTTTACTTTTTTTATATTAGGTTGCTACTTCGGACACATAATGTGTGGCACCAAATATTACATTCCTCGTTTGATCATTCAAGGAAATATCGAAGGTAGAAGATGGGTGGGTCGAAAGAAACTGTCATGGCTGAGAAATATACAGAACTAGACCGGTCTGGGGGTGGAGAGGCTGTTTCATGCCGCAGAAGATAGAGAACTCTTCAACGAAATAGTCATGGAGATCGCCAACGCCTGAAGACAGGCACGGCACCGCAAGAAGAAGAAGAATATAAAATATCAGTTTACACCACGAATATCATACTTACACCACGAAGTTGGTTTTGGGTTGTACTCCTTTAAAAAGGCTTCTATAGCATCGCGTTCTTCATTGGATCTAACGCTGGCCAATTCCAAACCTGCATCGATACAGGCTTCTCTGGCATCGGTCCAGTTCAGCTATAACAGAAAATTAAATTAATAAATTATACACATCAATTAGGTATCCCCTCCCACCCTCTTAAACAAAAAAGAACTTTATAATAATTTTTACGAAGTTTAAAATTTGATATAGTTCTTAAATTTACCATCACATATAATATAAGATAAATAACTACAAACCTAGTGAGGGTCAAATGTCAAACGTATCGCCACTATTCTCGTAAACAGTTATATTGTTATTGTCAAGACAGATTAAACAAAAGCAGTAGACCATGCAATTGTCTACAAAAGTTATTCTTATTTTTTTTTTCATAAATCAACATTCCTGCCTGTGATGTCTATCGCTATCTATCGCTAATCGAAATATCGAAAATAATAATATGCACTTCAATTTATTGGATAATAAGACTAGGAGGTACTTTAATATTAAAGTACCTCTGTGTTGCTATATGGGTTGAATTCCGGTTTATCAGTGGAAATACATTTTTGTTAAACATATTAAAAATATAAAGTTGGGAAGACTCAATAATTTGTTGATTATGTTTTACGTTGAGTTATGATTGGTTAAGATATGAGATAGTTATAGATAGAAAATGGCACTCTGAATAGAATGACATATTATCACATGTCAACTTTTGACATTTTCGCATATGATTTATGTGAAACATGCGCTTCATAACGACAATTTGACTCGAAATACCAAGTGTGTGGTACCAAATTATTCGTAAAAAAATATTTTTTCGAAATATGCTAATAAGCCACCTTCTTTCTATTTGAAAAAATTGAGATATTAAAAATACGATTTGGTCATCTTTTAACCGGCCAGAACAAGACACTAAAAACATTAGATGATCAAATCTATTTCTCCTCGATTAAAAATTAGTCTTTTTAATATAGCCCTTTCACTCTAAATTGAAATTTAAAATACGATGTTTTTTAAGCAAATTTGTCAAATGCTGACATATCATATGTCAATCTGTTCAGAGTGTCATTTTCTATCGATTAAAGCAAAAAATACCGAGGGTGTCATTTAAAAATCAATAGTTGTAATCATTTCCGGTTAAATAGGAGGTGACCGAAAAGAATTGAATACGTCAAACAATCCTAATCTATACTAATATATAAAATCCTTAAGTGACTGACAGACTGATTAATCACGATCCTGCTCAAACCACTCAACGTAAGAAGCTCAATTTTGGCATACAGGTTTGGCATACTATGGTGTAGAGGTTCGACAAGAAGGGATTTTTCGAAATTCCAGTTTTAAGAGGGTGAAACCACCCCTCAAATATTACAATATTTTTTATTTAAAAAACGGTCAAGTTTCCGAAAAAACGCTTAAACACGTATATCTTATTTTGTGTTTTTACATATTTTAAGATTTTTAAAAATGTATACAGGGTGTTCAAAAATCTGGTCATTGATTAATCACGATCTTGCTTAAAGCGCTTGACGAAAAAAGCTGATTTTTGGAAAACAGATTGACTTTAGGGTGTAGAGGTTCGATAAGAAAGGGATTTTTCGAAACTCGAATTCTAAAGGGTGAAACTATCCCTCAAATATTAAAATATATTTTATTTAAAAACCGGTGAGTATTTCGGAAAAACTCTTAAACACGTATATTTTATTTTGTTGTTTTGCATATTTTAAGATGTTTTATAAATTTATACAGGGTGTTTCATAAAATATGACCATTGAGTAATCACGATTCTGCTTAAACTGCTTGACGTTTAAAGCTGATTTTTGGCAAACGGATTGACTGTGGGGTGTAGAGGATCGATAAGGAGGTGTTTCGCGAATTTCAAACTCCAAGAGGGTGAAAACGCTCCTCAAATATTACAATATTTGTTATTAAAAAAAACCGTTAGTCTTTCGGGAAAACGCTTGGACAAGCATAATTTATTAGGTTCTTTTACATATTTTCAAATTTTTTAAAAAATCATACAGGGTGTTCCAAAAAGTTGGGTAATTTCTTAACCACGATTCTGCTTAAACTGCTTGACGTGAAAAGCTTATTTTTGGCAAACGGATTTTTCGAAAGCCAAATTCCAACGAGATGAAACTACCCCTCAAATATTACCAAGTTATATAATAATATCGCCATATTGTTTTTTCTGATGCTGACATAAATGTGAGAAAATTTTATCCAGTTTGTATTTTAATGGAAATTCTTGCTTTGCTTTATCATCACCATTACAAATGATTAATTCGACGCGAACGAAGTCGCTGGTACACGCTAGTTTATGTTATATAATAACATACCAAATCACGTTTTTTATCTGAAAAAATAAAAAAGTTATAAGGGTGAGCCACTTTTGAGATACACCCGGTATATCTAACAATTAAATACAAAAGAAACTCTTCAAAAATCTAAATAAATGTCAACTTTTGCAATAGTAAGTGCTTAATAAAACCTATTATTGGCTGGAAACTGTTTTATTTATGATATAAAAAACAGAGTGTGCTATTCGCGGGCTATTCGAATGAGCATCGTAAAATATAACTTAGTTCTGACGCACTCTGTTTAATTACACCAATTAATATATCTAGTGTATTTTAGTATAATTATTTTTGCACTTTCAGTAAAAAAAAACACCAACAATTTGCGAATTTAGAGTTTTATGAAGTATCAAATACTATATCCACAGTTCTAATAGAAAATTTAGTTTCAATCACTTTACAATAAGAATTTTATTACAAATTACAAATCCATCAATTTTAGATTGCACATAAGTGACATACATTTAAATTACTTTGTATATTAAAGCCCCATACTCACACTTCGCTCCTTCCTCGCGTTACTTCCTCGCGTCTCTTCGTTCAAAAATCATATATTTACTATGGGAAAATGTAGATTTTATGCGACTGTGTGTTCCTTCCTTCTTCGTCAAAACGCTACTTCGTCCGTTTACTTCCTCGAAACGGTCCTTCCACGTACTGTCGGTTTTTGGAGGAAGTAGCAAAGGAATTATCACGAACACAAAAGAATATTAAAATACATAAAATATTTAAATCGATCTTGGATTTCATTCGTAGTTGATTTCTTGATTTGGCAGTACGTCTGTACAGGGTGTCCCATTTTCGTGTGTTTTGCAGGGTTTCTCGTTTATGAGTCGAAATACAAAGATACGGTTTTCACATTACGCTGTTACTTTTTTATGAAACTAAAGATGCTACATACAGATATGTCTGAAATTATTGCATTTTTCGATCCCCTTTGTATCATAACTTATCGAAAAGGTGAAAACGGTCTCCCGTACAGTTTTTCACGTAGAATGCAGTGACGTAACTCTGACGTCTTTTTTTAAACTGACTAAAACTTATATGTTTTTTTAAATACGATATTTTGTATATTATTTTATTTTCCTTGTTACGAGCTTTCTAAAATACTTATTTTCATAAACGGGGTAAAAATGCATTATTTAACTTTATTACATAGTCGGCCGGTTTAAATTAGGTAATCAAAACAATCAACTAATTTATTCGACGTAACATGTTGGTTATTGACATGTTATTTAAAAGCAGCACAAGTTCAGTTTCCGTGTAGTTTATCAAAATATCACGATGCAAAGCAAAATTATCTGGTAAAATTAAGTTAAATAAAATAAGAGCCGTTTAGCAGTTTAGCAGTACCTCAATAAATAAATATAGAGTATAATATTATAATTTTCGAAAGCTCTCGTTAATCAAAGATTAACAAGGCAAATAAAATAAAAAAATAATATATAGAGTGTCCTGTTTAAAAAAAAGAACATAAATTTGAGTCATTTTTCGAAATAGACAGCTCCCAACGAAGAACCACTTTCGTCACTGCCATTCTACCTGAAAAACGAGACACGGGTGGTGGGTAAGTACTCAATAGGTAGAACAAAACAAAAAATCAGGGTATCCGGTATATACCTGTACATTTAGATGAACAGTCTAATTTTATAAAAGGTATTTCCAACGACCGCATAGTAAATACCCGATATAATACCAGTAATGTCAGGAATACGAGTATATCTACAATATTTCTAATATATATTGTAGATATTATATATTGGTATATTTCTATTCCCGGCATTATACCGGGTATTTACTATGCCGTCGTCGGAAACTCCTTTTATAAAAATTAGGATGTTTATCTAAATCTACAGGTATACCCAGATTTTATTTATCTACAAATTGGGTACTTACCCACCGCCCATCACTGACCCTTTTCACATTTTCGATAAGTTATAAGACAATCGAGATACAAAGGTTATCGAAAAATGCAAAAATTTCTACTAATTAAAAAATAAAAAGTAAAAGAAAGAAATAAGAAAGAACTTTGAAGTAGGCTAGGATAAATACATATTTATCCTAGCCTCTTAGTTCAAAGTTATTTCTTATTTCTTATGTAGCATATATTTGTTTCATAATAAGTAGAACAATGATGTGAAAAACAGCATCTTTATATCTCTACTCATAAACCAGAAACCCCATAAAAACACACACAAATGGGACATCCTGTACATCTAGCAATCGCCAGTCGATATAAAAATAATTCACACAGAATAGTCTAAAAATGGAAGAAAAAACAATATTGTCTTCATATTTGTGAAAAAATGCATGACCATATTTATGTAATCGTAGCGACAAAAATAAAAAAATAGAAATAATGTGCATGATGCCTTTACAAAAATATCTGAAGAAATGGGGATTGACATCATTAACGTTTAATTAGTATGTCATATTTCATGGTTTCGATATAAATTACATAATAAACTTTACTCTATTGTTGACTCGCCTTGTACATTCATACTGATATACCTTGTACATGATACTGAAATATTCGGATTTATTAAAAAAAATATATTATTAAAATTCAATTTTTATTTTTGACACGACAAAGAATTGCAGTTTTATAAAATAAAATTTATGCGCCTTTCGGATTTTTTAAAAATTTTAGAGGTTACTAGATATTTCGTATTAAACATGTAGCTGCTATATTAAAAATATTTTGTGGTGTGTTGTTGCATAACTGACTAATTTCCAAGCATCGAATAGACGAAGGAAGGAAGCGAAGGGACGAAGGAACGCGAGGAAATAACGCGAGGAAGTAAGGCGAGGAAGTAAGGCGAGGAAGGAGCGAAGTGTGAGTATGGGGCTTAACGGGTGAGAGAAGATTATCAGTTATTTTTATTTTCCAAACTAAATATAATAATTTATTTTACTTTAAGCTTTAACAGTGAAAATATATTGTTTAATAAAACTGACTATTCAAAGAATACAACAAAATACAAAACCAAAATGTACCAACTACACTAAGTTACAAAAGTAATTGATAAGAAAAAATAGATCAATAATTTTTGTAGAAAATTGCTTCATTTAAAAACAACTTTTATCAGCTTTATATATTATGTTTACGATAACACCGTTTACGAGAAAAATGCAATATGTTAAATAGTTTGGCCTTGATTTATGCATAAAACTTTAATTTATGTAACTGAGCTAACAACTAATTCATTAAAACATATATATTCAATAGCAAAATAAAACACTAATTCACCACAATACACCACAATACTTTTTTTATACACTGCATGGACGTGTATATCGCTACCCTTGTTAGCATTATTAGCAGATGATTACAACTGAGTTTATTGTTAGCGAAACTCTCGTCCAGTGTTTAAAAAAGTGTTTTGGTATATTGTGGTCAATAAGTGTTTTATTTTGCTTTAGTAACACTAAAAGTTCCAACCCCCAACTGTAATTTGTATACAAGTACTTACATTTTCAGTAGACAGAAAGTATGTTTTGTCAGACGTATGCATAAAATCTAAAAGATGGAAAACAGTGACATTGATAAACTATTTTACTTTTCAGATTCTACCAGTTACCTGAAGCAGATAGGCCAAATAAAACACACAGCACAACTATGGAGTTTGAGATCATTTTGTAGGAGTACTGCACTATTTTGGTCAAGTAGATTTGATGAACTGAGCATAAGAATAGAAGATGGTTTTCTTTATATATGGAGAAATTGTTTACAGAAAATTGACTAAAATTTCTTGTAAATTTAGAGAACTATTTTCGTAGAGACATATCGCTAATGTTATATTTATTTAAAGGACGTAAAACAAGAAATAAGTTTCGGGTTATACCAACTATCAGGGCTGAGTTTAATTTTTTATATACAGGGTGGCGCCTCTCATTCGCCGCGGAGGCTCCAAGGAGAACGACAGTTTGTATTGAAATGAAATTTTGTGAGCATATGTAGGTTAATTTAAAGCACTTTTTAAAAATATAGAAAGTTCTACAGGGTGTCTTATTAATGTCTTAGTCTATTAAAGTTGTGTTTTTTGTAATGGAACATCCTATATATTAATTGATTTTCGGATGCTAGGAAAAAAATAAAGGTTAGTTTTATTAAAGAAGTATGTACTCTAAGTAAGAAGTAGTACTCTAAGGATTTTGACATGTTTCACATTTTGTGAAAATGAAGAGTAAATTTTAAATTTCGATAACAACTACCTAAATTTTAGTTGACCTTGTATAGCCTGATATTTAATTACAGTAACTATTGTATGCTAAACCAAATGGAAATTTCACCCGAAAAGTTGTACAGGGTGAGACAAAATTAATATGGAACATTTTAAAAGCAAGTTACTCCTTTATTTTAAATAGAATACCCAGTATATTATTCCGGTGTTCAATGGAGAATTTATATATCTTCAAAATATTATTAAGGTTGCCTACCCCTCAAACCAAGATTTTCCTAGATATTCATTTATATGATTTGATCTGAGTAGATCTTTATTATTTGATAAAATCTAGGTGGCTGTGATATGTATGACGTTACTTCAACGTAGCTGTCTAATTAGTCCAACTTTAACAACTAGTTATCATTTTGTGTCAGTTAAAACGAAAAATTTCTCCGAAATTTGCCGAAAATACAAACTATCCTACATCAAAGAGAATTATAGATATGATTCTATTAGTTGGTGAATGCAGAGTGCTTTCACCAATTGACACAATACTTAAATGCTTCTGATTTTATCTAGTCTGGATTTTTGGCCATACCAAGAGGTATGGTAGGCTATTAAGAAAGAAATTAAAAAAAGTTTTTTTAATTTCACTCAAAATGCGAGTTATTTGGGTCATAAATGACCTAAATACAAAATATTTTCATGGTGTCTGTCTGTCTGTCCTTCTGTCCGTCTCTAACACGATAACACAAAAACCGCTAAACCGATTTTAACCAAATTTGGCACAAAAATACTGTGGCACCCGAGAATCTGGCTATTAGTTTTTGGTGTGGGTGGGGGGTTAAAAATTTTAAAAAATCGTAACTCCAAATTTACAGTAGTTAGCAAAACGCGGTTTCCAATTTAAGATTAGGAATAATATTTGCAAAAAAATTTGTAGTAACATCAAAATCAGTCAAAATCGCAGTTTTTGAGATAATTGAAACTAAAAGAACTGATGCCTACCAACTTTTTATTAACATATTTTAGTATGGGCGGCTAAACGTGCCTTCCGGCGCTAATTTCTTTATGGGGATATGTTAAAGACAATGTTTACAAAACTCGACCGACTATTGTCAACAACATGAGATAAATTATTGTAGCTGCTTTTCGAGGTAGAACTCCACATATTATGCCTTTTAAAATGAAAAGATCCTTGTAAAAAGACAATCATTTTATGCAGTTAACAGGAAAGGAAGCATTTTGAGGATTTGATTTTATCTAGCTAATTTTTGTTACATAATTATAGGTTTATATCTAGTTTTGATTCTGGAATAATTAAAATATGTTTTAAACAGGTATCTTTTTATTTTTATTACCGTTGAGTATTTTACTCTACATTCTGTAATTTTTGTTAAATTAACAAAAGGTATATCAAAGCCACCCCCTAGATTTTTTCAAATAAAAAGATCCACTGACGCAAAACATAAAAATTAAAATATCTAGGAAAATCTTTGTCTGAAGTGCAGGCAATCTTAATAATATTGTGAAGATATATAAATTCTCCATTGAACACCGGAATAGTATACTGGGTGTTCCATTCAAAATAAAGAAGCAACTTGCTTTTAAAAGTGACTCTAATGTTCCATATTAATTTTGTCTCACCCTGTATAACTTTTCGGGTAAAATTTCAATTTGGTTTAACATACAATGGCAAATTACTGTAATTAAATATCAGGCTATACGAGGTCAACAAAATTTAGGTAGCTGTTATCGAAATTTAAAATTTACTCTTCATTTTCACACAATGCGAAATAAGTCAAAATCCTTAGATTTTAGGTATATGCTTCTTTAATAAAACTCATCTTTATTAAAATCCGAAAATCAATTAATATATAGGGTATTCCATTACAAAAAACAGAACTTTGATATGTAACTTTTCTTGGGGACACCTTGTAGAACTCTCTATATTTTTAAAAAGTGCTCTGAATTAACGGAATTAACCTACATATGCTCACAAAATTCCATTTCAATCAAACTGTCGTTCTCCTTGGAGCTTCCGCGGCGTATGAGAGGCGCCACCCTGTATTTTTTTGTATTTACGGCTGTTTTGGTTGGTTATCTTGGACTGACCTGGCCAAAATGACCATTAATTGTCATTTCTCAGCCGTCTCTGACGCTGTAAAAGTAGTAGTCAATGAACTAAGAAATTTAAACTAGCCATCTTTTGTGGTTAGATCTAGCAGTGTGAGTATTTCTTAAGAGTATGGCTTAGGTACGAATAGATGACATATTTGCGTTTTGGATACATATTCTAACACCATAGACATATTTATTCCAAAATTAAACGATAGTTTTCCTTCATTAAATTTATCTATGAAATTAAGAACAACGATAGATTACCGATATAGAGTTCTACATTTTAGATTATCGATAGATAGAGCGAATATTCAAGTATTTGGGATGGGCTAATCAGCTGTGATTATTTAGGAAAAAAATATTTTTCCCACACATGCGGAGTTTTTTTGGATAACGATGTTTTTATGAGTTTTTTTGGATTAACGAGCAGTGATATTTAGCACTAACCCTCAACTGGCGTGATGGGGTCTAGCGGACCCCAAGCACTATTTAAACTTTGTAAAATTTTTACGTTTAACATTTAGGCCTCGCCACGCCATTTACCTTTAAGTTAGGGTACCCATATGCAATTAAGGCGCACTTATTTTTATCAAGTATTGTTCCTACCAGCGGGGGGTAAAGTTTCATTGGGTAGCACCACCACGCCAATAATGTTTCATGATTAGGATTGTGGGTAGTTCGAAAAGTGTGCGTCATGGGGACGCTAATTTTGAGGAAGCATTAATTGAGTGGTTTGATGAACTTAAAGAGACTTAAGTGAGATGAAGATCATCGAGACATTGATTTTTCTCCGAAGACTAACCATAACTCCGATTCTGAATCTCTTACTTATAGAAAAGAGAAAATTGAATAATCATTACCAGAAAAGAAAGATATGGGGTATATGTCAACGGAGATAATCTTTAATAATCTCTTCATAATTTATTTTTGACAGAAAAAAAATTGGGGTCCATCGGACCCCAGAACGCCATAAGCGGTACAAAAATTCACCACGCCAGTTGAGGGCTAAATAACGTACTATAAAAAGGCAATTATTTATTAGTTCTCTAATTTACAATGTTCTTAGAATAACTAATAAGTCAATGCAATTTATTTTAGATAAATAATTTGGCCCACGCGATAGGATCTATATTGGAAAGATATTTAAGAAACTTTGTAAGCAAACAAAAATATGTTATTATAGAGAATTTGTAGAATTGTTTATAAATAGGTATATGCATTGAACTCAACATACATGGTGATGAAGGAAAGACAGCCTTGGGTAAACAATAGTTGTATAACTAAATACGACATGTTTTAAAATTATAGCCAATATACATATATGTGGTGAGCTTATAAGCTTCAGGCTAACCAAACTTATATTACACTTTTAAAAAATACGACACTCGCTGCAAAATAATTATTCAAATTAAATTTATTTATTTTTGCATAAAAGACTCCAAATCTTTCTAAATCTTCCTTTCTCCAAAAAGTGAGCAATGTTTAATATTGACTTTGCCTTAATATTAACTCTCAATGTCAAATTTAAATTGAGTTTATTTTAAAATGTATACGTTATATTGAGTAAATCATATTTTAGATAATTTTTATTGAAAACTTCGTATTCAAAGTTCTAACTATTATTAAAAAATATAGAGGGTGTCCCAATATTCTGTAGACCCTGAAATACTACGCATTCTATACAAAAGTGCTTCGTTTGTCCGCTAGAAGGCATCAAACTTTAAAAACATAAACACTTTTTTCAGATATTTTAAAAACCGTTATTCCGATTTGAATGAGATTTTGGGTGTCTATGATTTGCTAAGTGCTTTAACATTTGACTTTCACACAAATCAAGAAAAATTACGGGAGGAGTAAAAATTACCCCCACCCCTACATAAATTTTAATGTAAATATTGTCCAACTCCACCGACGACAGATTTTCTTTTCGTAAAATGCTCCTTCTAGTATTTACTACATTTTTTGTTTCTTGTAAAAAAAGCCATATCGCATAATTTTTGAGAAAAAATTTTTTGGAGAATTTATTTTTCCAAAGCAGGCCTAATGAAATATACCGGGAGTTCCAATATTCCGCAGACATAGAAGGACTACGTTTTTGAATCACAATAAGTTAATTGCACATAATTTAAAAAAAGAATGTGTCTCATTGACATTAAATTTTTGCATAAGGTGCATTTCGGAGGAGGTTCATTGGTCAGGGGGTAAAAACAAATATAGTCACGATATTTTTCGTCTAAGATTTGTATTAGACTAGTTTTGTAAAGATATCTGGATGTTTCAGATTTTTTTAATTTACAAAGTTCCATATATTAACTGAAATAGGATCCTTCCATGGAGGGGGCAGTATGTCGGAAAACTGGATACAGGGATATTAGATATTAGGAATGTTTTGTTGGGAGGAAAATAGGTGGTAGCTTATATTAATGGGGCGTTGGTATTTTAGATGAACA